TTTGTGGGGGGGGGGGGGGGGTACTTGCCAAAACCACTTCTGGCTCAGTTCACCGCAGCAAACTGAGCTAGTAGTTTGGTCCCCTCCTTTCCCCAGCAGTCTTTTTGGATACTTCACAGGTCACAGAAGACTACGGGGCCTATCACAAGGCGCAGCGCAACTCACGCATGCAGAGTAGCAAACCGGTTGTGAAGCCACAAGGCTTCACTTCTGGCTTCCTTTACTTGTAATGTCGGTGCCAGGAACCCGGAGGCTAGTGAAGAACTGGCCCCGGTGACGACGGCACTGGACCTCTGGACAGGTAAGTGCCTTTAAATTAAAAGTCAGCAGCTACAGTATTTGTAGCTGCTGACTACTTTTTTGGGGGGGTGGGAGGAGCCTGGAACTCCTCTGTAAGTTGGCTTCCCTGCGCCGCTCTGCTGATAGACTTCAGTACAGATTCACCTAAAAAAGGTGCTCACATGGATGCAGCATATTCCTCAGCTGGCATCACATCAACAGTCACTAACGAGTGGGACAGGATGTTTCTCCCACGCTGCACTCATTCCTGTAATCCTGTGCTGTCCTCTGCAGTGACATCACATGAGCTGGGATTATAGGAGAGGCATCTGGTATCAATGCACCCTGGCAGTACTCGCGGTCTGTCAGTGTGCATTGAAACCACCGAGTGGATATACATGAACAACAATGGTGAATTGCTGTGGAACCCTAGGTTAAGAAACCCTGCTGTGGACTGTAAAGTCTAATGGACAGGCTCTATTTCTCCAATTCTATCTATCTACTGCTTTATTTGAATTTAGCGTTAGGACTAAATGTACTGGCCTCTGGAAATTGCGTGTCTGTATTACCCTGATTTGTATAACTCCATAGAACAGAGATGAGGGAGCTACATAATTCAGAGATAAAATGGCTATGGAGTAAGTTTACTCATTTGAAGGGAAACAATGAACATGTTGATGGCAACTGGCATCCAGTACCATCCAGATTGGATTTTGCATCTCATTTTCTGGATTGTACTAGAAATTGAAGCCTGATGGGCAAAGAATAAGATAAGATATGATCTGACTACTCAGATTTCAAGTTGGTTTCTAATTCTGTCGTCCTTGAGAAATTGAGGTATAGATTATTTGAATGGGTTGGAAAAGAGTTGATGTGATCTAGACAAGCCATGCAATATATGTGCGCCATCTTGAAAGAGTTGTGGCCTGTGATGGGAGTCTTTTTCAGAGAGACCTACCGTGGTGGAAAATATCTCCTTGTCTTGTGCCAGTGCTCAAGGAATACTTCTGATAGTTTTGAACGATGAAGTTCTTAGGGATCGAGCTTCCCAACCATAGAAGGCCTTTCAGTTGGAGATCTACTATCACCTGTTCTAATTGGAGCCAGTAATCTTATTTAAGATAGCACGATTCTAATACTTGCGCCATATGAGTAGCTTTGTGGTATTGGATGGGGTCTGGAAAACCTATTCCTTCTCCTTGTTTAGGCAGGGAAAGGAGAGTCTTATTTATCCTGTAGGCTTTATGGGACGAAAATATATTCGACACTCTCCCCACCTGTCTTCGTAAAAGAGATCAGGATTTTTGTTAAAGTCTGGAATAGATCTGCTGGGTTTGACAAACTCGTAGTAAGTTTGGCAGATTGTAAACTGTTGTGCCTTCACTTTGTGAAGTAGCGTGGTTCCTTTTTAATTGCATTTCTGTTGCAACGGATTGAGAGAACTTTTTTTTTTTCTTATGCTGGGTTTCAAGGATATGTATCTGTTTTATAAGATTTGCTAGCTTATTTTATCTAGTTTTTTTTTTTTTTTCTAGGAATTGATTTTTTTAAATATTTTTCCTCGTGAATTTGAAGCCTTACTTTAGGTTCCCACTGATGCGGTGCTGCACATCGCATGTGATTCGCGCAGGAACCACACCTCATTCCTGTGCAAATCACATGCAATTTCTGTGCGGTGCAATTTGAGTCATACATTTTGTATGCCTCAGATCGCACTGCATCCACACCAAAATAGTTTTTTGTCCGCACCAGAATCGGATCGCACGGGTATTCACACCCTTGTGATCCGATTCTGCACGTCACCACATTTTGCGAACAGATTTTGGGTTGTCGTTAACATACACACCTGCAGCGGTTCGCGTGAACGGGGTGTGATCATGATGCGGTATGCAAATCGCACAGAAACCGGTGCGAATTCCACGCTGCATCAGTGTGAACACGGGCTCAATCAGATTCACTTGTTTTCTATAAAAATAAGTAGAAGTATGCAATGAATGGAACGCTTGTATTTTTCACTTTGGATGTTTGTTTCTTGTTTACTCTAGTTGACAGCATGTGCAAGGTGTCTGTTGTCAAGGTCAATGAGTCATGTTGGAGCTCTGCATTCTTTACCACACCTTTCATGTCCTTTTGTGTTTCAGATGAGACATGATTTCTGTAATGTCAGTGTTATGCTATTGAATTTTTCTATTAGGAAGTCAGAAATATTGAACTGTTAATCAAAATGCAGAATACACAGTTGAAATACATATACAAAAAACTGTTAAACCCACTAAAGCATACAGTGGGGCAAAAAAGTATTTAGTCAGCCACTAATTGTGCAAGTTCTCCCACTTAAAAAGATGAGAGAGGCCTGTAATTGGCATCATGGGTAGACCTAAACTATGAGAGACAAAATGAGAAAAAAATCCAATCACATTGGCTGATTTGGAAAGAATTTATTTGCAAATTATGGTGGAAAATAAGTATATGTCACATACAAACAAGCAAGATTTCTGGCTCTCACAGACCTGTACCTTCTTCTTTAAGAGACTCCTCTGTCCTGCACTCATTACCTGTATCAATGGCACCTGTTTGAGGTTGTGGACAGGTGACTTTTATACTGATAACAAGTTCAAACAGTCACACTCCAAACTCCACTATGGTGAAGACCAAAGAGCTGTCGAAGGACACCAGAAACAAAAGTGTAGACCTGCACCAGGCTGGGAAGACTGAATCTGCAATAGGCAAGCAGCTTGGTGTGAACAAATCAACTGTGGGAGCAATAATTAGAAAATGGAAGACATACAAGACCACTGATAATCTCCCTTGATCTGGGGCTCCACGCAAGATCTCACCCCGTGGGGTAAAAATGATCACAAGAACGGTGAGCAAAAATCCCAGGACCACACGGGGGGACCTAGTGAATGACCTGCAGAGAGCTGGGACCAACGTAACAAAGGCTACCATCAGTATCACACTACGCCGCCAGGGACTCAGATCCTGCAGTGCCAGGATGTCCCCCTGCTTAAGCCAGTACATGTCTGGGCCCGTCTGAAGTTTGCTAGAGAGCATTTGGATGATCCAGAAGAGGATTGGGAGAATGTCATATGGTCAGATGAAACCAAAATAGAACTGTTTGGTAGAAACACAACTCATCTGTTTGGAGGAGAGAGAATGCTGAGCTGCATCCAAAGAACACCATACCTACTGTGAAGCATTGGGGGTGGCAACATCATGCTTTGGGGCTGTTTCTCCGCAAAGGGACCAGGACGACCGATCCATGTACAGGACAGAATGAATGGGGCCATGTATCGTGAGATTTTGAGTGCAAACCTCCTTCCATCAGCAAGGGCATTGAAGATGAAACGTGGCTGAGTCTTCCAACATGACAATGATCCCAAACATACCGCCCGGGCAACGAAGGAGTGGCTTCGTAAGAAGCATTTCAAGGTCCTGGAGTGGCCTAGCCAGTCTCCAGATCTCAACCCCATAGAAAACCTTTGGAGGGAGTTGAAAGTCCGTGTTGCCCAGCGACAGCCCCAAAACATCACTGCTCTAGAGGAGATCTGCATGGAGGAATGGGCCAACATACCAGCAACAGTGTGTGCCAACCAGGGTGGATCAAAATCAATGATTTTTTTAAAAAAATCTGATTTTTTTTTTTATTTAAATCAGATTTTTTTTAAATAAAATGCTTTTTGAGGAAAATATATTACCATCCAAAGGTTATTCCATCATGAAATAAAGATTATTTTTTTAATTATGTAGAATAAGGCTGTATATGTTTAATTTTTTTTGGTAAATAAATTCCATTAATCCATTCACAATGTCATGCTCTTCCAGAGGTTTTTGTAAGATTATTGGGCAGTTTTCTCTGCCTACAAGATATTATCACAGATGTTTGGTTTACTTTTGCAGTTCTCAAAACTGAATTGGACTCAGCAGAGATCACATGCCTCTTCTTCACAGCAAAAATGTTATAACATGAACAGTTAAGAAAAAGACCTTAATCCTAACTTCTACAAACCTATCAATACAGAATCAACCCCTTCAGTGCTAAATTTCAAGAAGTTCAGTGAATAGAATAGAAACAATATTTTTCTGATTGTTTGGAGTGGAATAGATCTGCACAAGAAGAAAGTGAAACTAAGTGTGAGGAGGAAGGGGCTGACAGTCTAAGTTTCTTAAAATATATATATTTTTGTTTAGCCAAATTAGTTAACAAACATGGATGTTTGTTTAAGCCAGTGGTTCTCAACCTTTCTAATGCCGCGACCCCTTAATACAGTTCCTCATGTTGTGGTGACCCCCAACCATAAAATTATTTTCGTTGCTACTTCAGAACTGTAATTTTGCATTGGGAGGAATAGTGCCCCATCATTGGTATCAGTGGGAGGAATAGTGTCCCATCATTGGTATCAGTGGGAGGAATAGTGCCCCATCGTTGGTGTCAATGGGAGGAATAGTGCCCCATCGTTGGTGTCAATGGGAGGAATAGTGCCCCATCATTGGTATCAGTGGGAGGAATAGTGTGCCCCATCATTGGTGTAAGTGGTAGGAATAGTGCCCCATCATTGTTGGTGTCAGTGGGAGGAATAGTGCCCCATCATTGGTGTCAGTGGAGGAATAGGATCAGTGGGAGGTGCCCCATCATTGGTGTCAGTGGGAGGAATAGTGCCCCATCATTGGTATCAGTGGGAGGAATAGTGCCCCATCATTGGTGTCAGTGGGAGGAATAGTGCCCCATCATTGGTGTCAGTGGGAGGAATAGTGCCCCCATCATTGGTGTCAGTGGGAGGAATAGTGCCCCATCATTGGTGTCAGTGGGAGGAATAGTGCCCCATCATTGGTGTCAGTGGGGGAGGAATAGTGCCCCATCATTGGTGTCAGTGGGAGGAATAGTGCCCCATCATTGGTGTCAGTGGGAGGAATAGTACCCCATCATTGGTGTCAGTGGGAGGAATAGTGCCCCATCATTGGTGTCAGTGGGAGGAATAGTGCCCCATCGTTGGTGTCAGTGGGGGGAGGAATAGTGCCCCATCGTTGGTGTCAGTGGGAGGAATAGTGCCCATCATTGGTGTCAGTGGGGGGAGGAATAGTGCCCCATCGTTGGTGTCAGTGGGGGAGGAATAGTGCCCCATCGTTGGTGTCAGTGGGGGGAGGGTGGGGTCAGTGGGGGGGAATAGTGCCCCATCGTTGGTGTCAGTGGGGGGAGGAATAGTGCCCCATCGTTGGTGTCGTGCCCCATCGTTGGTGTCAGTGGGGGGAGGAATAGTGCCCCATCGTTGGTGTCAGTGGGGGGAGGAATAGTGCCCCATCGTTGGTGTCAGTGGGGGGAGGAGTGGATCGTTGGTGTCATAGTGCCCCATCGTTGGTGTCAGTGGGGGGAGGAATAGTGCCCCATCGTTGGTGTCAGTGGGGGGAGGAATAGTGCCCCATCGTTGGTATTCAGTGACACAAATGATGGTGCCCCACTATGAATTCATCGTTGGTGTCCCACTGCCCCATCGTTGGTGTCAGTGGGGGGAGGAATACCAATGATGGATACTATACCTCTTGCTGACAGTGGGGGGAGGAATAGTGCCCCCTTTGGTGATCCCTGCTCCAGCCTGGGCTCGCTCTCTCCTCTCTCCCATCTACAGCCTGCAGAAGCAAAATTTGCACTTACCTGTCAGCTGTCTTCCTTCTCTGGCCTCTCTCCTCTTCACTCGGTCCTGCAGCTCCCTCGATCTTCTTCGATCTGCGCGCTCTGCCGCTCGGCTCCTCCTCTCCAAGCTCCACCTCCTCGCCGGTGATTGGCCGCCTGTGTGCCTCTCCTGAGCTACAGTTCCGGTGGCCAATCAGCGGCGAGGAGGCGGAGCTGTTGAGTGATCCCGGAGGTGTGGCCAGGTTACAGGGGCAGCATATCATCCCGCCCACAGATCGCGAGACAGAGCAGCGGTGTCTCGGTTCCTAAGACCATCGGAAATATGTGTTTTCCGATGGTCTTAGGCGACCCCTGGGAAATGGTCGTTCGACCCCCAAAGGGGTCGCGACCCCCAGGTTGAGAACCGCTGGTTTAAGCAAATAACATATGCTGTAATGTGATTGTTTCAGTTGAATAAATCTATTTAAATTGTTATTAAGGTAATGATTATTTTTCTCCTTCCTAAGTACAACAGAAAAGTTGTCCAAATATGAATGGTTAACCCAGTGGTGGGCAACCTTTTTTTTCAACTGAGCCAAATCTCGCCAAAACCACGATTGAAATTTATTTTGAGCCACATTTTTAAAACTGAAAATTCATCCCCCATATAGTAATTCATCCCCCATAGTAATTCATCCCCCCTATAGTAATTCATTCCCCATATTGTGTCAATTCACTTACCTTTGCTCCGCACGTTCCTCTCGCCGTGTTCCCCGCGCCGTTCCGGTCTTCAGGGCGGACTGTGAGAGGAGAGGAGTTCGTCACGCTGCCCTGCCTACATCCTGACAGCCAATGTTTGCCACGCTCCGCGGGCCGGATTAAAAGGTCCGCCGGGCCGTAGTTTGCCCATTGCTGGGCTAGCTGCAGAGTCCTGACTTTTGGGGCGGCCGCCCGAGAGGAGGGAGGGGAGCGGGCGCGCCCAGCACACAGAAGAGCCGCATTAAAGTGTGCAAAGAGCCGCATGTGGCTCGCGAGCCGCGGCTTGCCGACCACTGGGTTAACCTATTAAACTGGGGATAAAAAAAACGAATGAAAAGTTGTTCTAAAAATCTTCATCTACTTGCATATTAAAGTTATACCAGCAAGAATTAGTCTTTATGTAGAAAACTAGGATTTAAATCAAGCCTTACTGACTAGTGATTTAAATTGTGATTTAAATCAGTTTGATTTAAATCAAATCCACCCTGGTGCCAACCTTGTGAAGACTTACAGGAAACGTTTGACTTCTGTCATTGCCAACAAAGGATATATAACAAAGTATTGAGATGAACTTTTGATATTGACCAAATACTTATTTTCCACCATAATTTTCAAATAAATTCTTTCCAAATCAGCCAATGTGATTGTCTGGATTTTTTTTCTCATTTTGTCTCTCATAGTTGAGGTGTACCTATGATGCCAATTACAGGCCTCTCTCATCTTTTTAAGTGGGAGAACTTGCACAATTGGTGGCTGAATAAATACTTTTTTGCCCCACTGTAAATAATTGTGTTTTACTCTAGTGATCTAGGCTTCCCAGCCAGAGAGCACAGCATGATCTGTGATCTGACTTTTTCTTAACTACAAAAACAAAAAAAAAAACAGTTTTGTCTTTAACTTGCCCTCCTAAAGCCTTGCACACACTATGAGAATATCGGCAGAAAGTGATTGTCCAAATAAAGTAATCTGACCATTAGTACACCGCTTTCGAGAGCCGATCACGTCACAACAGTTCATGCAAAATTATCCAAGGGCACAAGCATGAAAATTTGACTCGTGATAACTGAGCAAATGGTTTTTCGTTTAATCAGTACAGTATTCGTCCAAAAAAAGACCAAGACCAAGCATGCTTAGAAACGAAAGAATACAATACAATAAAAAACAATACATTACATCACTTCTGAAGTTATATTCTGTTGTACAATAATTTTTCTTAACTTTAGTAACCTCTTCATTTTTAATATGAGGCTAGCATGCAAAAAAAACAAACTAACGATCATTTCTCATTGTGTATGCTAGGCTTCAGCTAGCGAGATCAGGAATGATGACAGATATCTCTCTTTATGGCAGATGTGCTTATAACTCCTGTCAGATTTGTTTGTTTTTGTTTTTTTTTCCCATTTGTGTCCCATTCGGGAGATATGCCTTCACTTGCTGTTCCATAGCCAAAACAGGAAGTTACAAGAAATCCTTGAAACAAAAGAATTTCTCTGAGGCCCTCCAGGTCACCGAAACTACTGTCTCCATTGGAAGATCTACCCTCTTACTTTTCTAGGTACAGCCCAAAATTTGGGATTTTCTTTTACTTCCACTTTCAGTGATTATAGTAAATAGGGGAAATCACCCTAAGGTCTGATTCACACCGGTGCGGGTTGTTGCAGGGGGAAGGGATCACAACAGTTCCCACACCCTCAACCACTCAGTCAAAACGCTCTGCTGTTCATCTTAGTGGCACCCCCAAGCTTCTCAACCCGCAGGGAGTTTGCGAGTTTGGGAACTGCAGGGAGCAGCAGCAAAGGTGGGGTGCAGGAGACAGATGGGGTGTAGCAAGAAAGGTGGGGTGTAGCAGGACAGGTGGGGGCAGTGGAAAAGCTCTCGTCTGTCCAGCAGTGGCTCCTCCAGATGTCCTCCTGGGGGCGTCGGCACCATGCTGGAGGTGGGGCTGTCTGCTATCGCACAGGTGGCAGGACTTGGTGGCCTTGGTGACTCCGGTCCTTTGATGGGGGCACCGCTGTAGGAAGGCAGCATTGATGGGCTCTGCGGTGTGGATGGGGAGGTCGGTTTGGGAGGGCCGCGTCCTCCGCTCCATGGGCTCTGGGGGGGAGGGGCCTGCAGTGTTCTCCAGGGGGCTGGCTTTCGTGGAGCAGTGCAGCTCTACGTTCCGCCTGGACCTGTGCACGGGGAGGAATGGGGGAGACTCTGGGGGTCCCAGAATGCTGAGTTCAACTCTGTGGGGTGGGGGAGAGGTGGTGGCCGAGGACGTGGGGTGGGGGACAACAGAGCAGTGTGGGATATCGGGCCCAGGCGCCAGGGCACTATTTCTGGTCGACATGGCGACCTTGCGCCTGGGAATTGTCAAGCCCTGCTTTAATGTTTTGTCTGATGTGCTAAGATGCACCTTGCATATTAGCTTGATTTTTATTACACTTTTTTTTTGGAGAGCCGCTCTAAACCACTGTCAGTAATGCTGGTTATAATCGTAACCCTGTTCCATAAGTTATTGAGCTTTTAATAACCCATGTGCTAACCGTCAGAGTAAGATTTGAGCAATTAGAAAATCCATGTGACATTGTGTGCTTGAAATTTTGTGTGCATTACATCAGAAAATAAAAATGCGTTTTAGCTGGTCAGAAATGTTAATTGGGCTACAACTGTCTCAACACCTATATGCATGTATAGAAGATGTCAGTTAATCCAGATTATTATACTCTGACATCACTTCCTTTTGATCTGAATGGCACATTTGATCGCAGTCAACACTGCTGTGTACCACTGCATTTTAACAAATCCAACAGCAACAGTTCACCAGCATAGTGATACTTGGGTGATCCCAAACCAAGCAATCTTATTATATATGCATTTGCTGGAGTGCAATCCATTCTATATATACCAGTGACATTCCATCGAGCATCTACTTCCCGAACCCTGAACTGTTTGTGGAATGACTCTAGAGCAGGGGTGTCAAACTGGCAGCCCTCCAGCTGTTGCAAAACTACAAGTCTCATCATGCCTCTGCCTTTGAGAGTCATGCTTGTAACTGTCAATCTTGCAATGCCTCATTGACTTGTAGTTTGGCAACAGTTGGAGGGCTGCCAGTTTGACACCCGTGGGCTAGAGAGTGCCTGGAAGTGCAGACTTATTCCAACTGTCCTCATTTACCATCCTTCTAATGCTTTCAGTATACTTGAGACAGTCAGTGGCTTCATAATCATAAACAGCCTTTAGTTTACCTGAGACAACCAGTATTACCCTAAATCATCATTATTATTATTATTATACAGGATTTATATAGCGTCAACAGTTTGCTCAGCACTTTACAATATAACGGGAGACAATACAGCAACAATAGAGTCAATACACGAGGGATAGGAGGGCCCTGCTCCTTGGAGCTTATAATCTAGGAGGGAAGGGCTAGTGATACAAAAGGTAGTAAATGTGGGGGATGGACTGGTTGGAAGAGTAGAAGATTCCATTATTAGCTGAGGGCAGGTTAGGCTTCCCTGGCCAATGAGGAGGGAGTTACAATAGTCAAGGCGAGATGTAACAAGG